TAGAGAGAAGAAGATATACGATGAAAAATAACGGGACATATTGTATCAGCGAAGAGTGTGTTATGCATGATCGCGTACGATTCGTGGCTCACTCGGCAGTCAACAAGGGAAATATTACGCTCTCGTTACGGTCCCTCGTGTTCGTGGCTGGCTGGGGAGTCACGGCGTGTGCCCACGCCTCAAGATGGTTAAGTCGCGGCCGCTAGAGGGGAACTTGAACAGAGGGGCGAGACTCTGGACGATATGCTATCGCGGTCAACTTCCGGTGACTCGTTTGTATATCGCCTCTCTTATTGATCCTCCATATACATACGTCTCTCACTCTCTCTCTCTCTCTCATTCACTGTTCTCCTCCCCTCCTCTATTGCATTCATTTCTCCTCCCTGTTCTCCTACCGACCGCGTTTTATGCGTGTCAGGCCGCAGAGAGCACGGAAAGTTATCCAACGATCACGCCGGCGCGATCCTGACAATCTTCCCCTCCCTGTCGCTTGCTCGCTGCCCTCTTATTCCTTGTTCTTCCTTCTCGAATTCTCAGGTGGTTCTCAGTTTCGCCGCCAAGCGTCACTATTTAGTTATCCAAGTCCAATGTTGTTCACGATTCGTCGATCTTCCCTCGTACACCTTCAGCTCTCACGTTACGAGAACAACGTAATTGAAAAAGAAATGTTGAACGTGCGTTATCGATATTAAGAATCGAAAAGTAATGTACGTAAATTCAAGAACCAATTATCATTATATATATTATATATATATATACATATATACATATATATACATTATATGCATTATATATACATATGTATATTATTAATGTATATATATACATAATATATATACATTATATACATACATATATATATACATAACCAATTAACATTGACATATATGTTATATATATACATATACATATATATTATATACATATATTATATATACATATATATTATATACATATATATTATATACATATATATTATATATATATATAAGTCAATGGTTCTTGAATTTACGAAAATTTTACGAATATATATATATATATTTATATAAATTATAAATTTACGAATATATATATATATGTATATATATGTCATCGAAGAAAAATTTAAACAACGATATTTCATATCCAACATATTTACATTCTATAGTAATTGTATAGTAATTCTATAGTATACATATATTTTATATATATATATAATATATATATTGTATTATATATATATACTATACAATAACTGATTTTCTCAGCTCTAAAAAACTACCGACACGTCAAAGGAGAATATGTTAAGAAGCCAAGAAGCGGAGAGTTTAGCGATAGATCGTGTTCAGTCGCATAACTGTTATAGCTGCTCTCTGGTAGAGCAACAGGTCGCTGTTTCGAGACGCGGGTCCTGATCACGCGTGTCCTGTACGTTGAAACGATTCTCCGCGAACTCTATACGTTCTAATATAACTCCTGTGTGATTCGAACGAAGCCAAAAATGTCAACTAGCTAGGGATACGAAGATTATTATAGGCTATCTTTGTCGCGTTTTATCTGTTTTAAAAACCCTGTTTGAAATCATTGGAGGGCGTTAGAGTACAATTGATTTATAGAGATTATTTATCCTTCTTATTAGCAAGATAGTAGCAAGCAAAACTATTTATCCTTCAGCCTACAAACGTTGTCGTAACAATTGTTTTATAACGCGTTATAATGAAAACGACGTGAGAAATGTTTTCCTAGTTTAGAATTTTTATAGCTTCTTTTCATCTTCACAGTCACGTCATATTAAAATTAATTTACTATTTACTGTCTACTTTCGTACAGTATATTGATGTTTCATTTTAATTTTGTCGTAGCTGCCAGCTCCGCTACCGATCTGCAGAGAATGCCTTGGCGCGACGATAGCTGGAAACAATAACAACACGAAGCGGAACGTGAATGAGAAGCTGAGCAGGTGTAGCGTATGTGGCGCAGCTTTACACAATTCTTGCGCACCACCGGAACTTTCGATTCTCGTTGACAGAGGTATAACGTGGTCTTGTGACGATTGCTCGCCAACGTGTGCCGGGTGTCAATTGGAACGGGAATCGCAAAATTACCTGGTGAAATGCGCCGATTGCGTCAAGTGTTATCATCCGGCCTGTTTGGACCCGGCGCTTGACAAGAAGAACAAAACACCGTGGAGGTGTCGGCATTGTCAAACGGCACATACTCCGGTATCGAAGGATGATAGCAAAAGAAATAAAACACAGGAGACGGCGAATTCTGTGGAAAGCACGCCGACCAGCGCGAGGAAGAGACTTAGCAAATTACGTGAAAATAGAAAGTAAGCGGGAAATTTGATGATGATGTGAAGCAATCTTTAGGTTCGAATTTAGTTGTGCTATCCCCCGAAAAGATTCAATCCTTTCGACTCGACATGTTCTTTTTTTTTCTTTTTTTTTTTTTTTTTTT